CTCCCAGTCAGCCCTGAACTGGATGCTGTTACAGTTTATACGTGTGTGGGGGGAAAAAGGGCTTTTAAAAGTTGTCATCATCTCCAAACATGGAGGAGTGTTTTTACGGACTGATTACAAGTTAAACTACCTACAATTTAATGGCTGCTGCAAATAATACATGCTTTCTTTAGATCAACTGTTAAATGGAATATAGTAACTGTTCAGCTTTGTGTGTGTGTGTGTGTGTGTGAGTGTATTGAGTTACGTGACGGATAAAAGGCTCTATTCCTCCTATCATCGGTTTAGCGAGAAAGGATCGAACAGAAAGACGCTGCAATCCGACCCTGGCAGACACACACACACACATGCACTAATACACACACAGTAGCAGAAAAGCAGACACACTCCATTGCTCTCCGTCACTCATCAGCTCTAAACCTCGCTGCCGCTTTCCATTGGTCACCACCATCATAACAGAGGCCGCCGCTGCGCTGATACCTAATGCCAGTATTATGTGCCTGAGTCAATATCACTCCATCCCCACTTTGGTTTTTAAGTCTGAAGTGAAATGATGAGTGTTACAGCGTAAATGCATTATTCAAGTCAAAATGTGAAAACCATCATTTTGGCTTTTGTGGCATGAAGTCATCACAAGTCTGCCCTGCTGAGGGTTCTTTAAAGGTCTTCACCAGCTGTAGGCCTCTGGATCTGCTGACGACCTCTGACCTTTCTAGTCTACCACCAGAAACTACTTGCTTCTCATATGTATTTTTATATATATACATATATACATATTTAAAACATACATATTTATGTAACATATATGTGTATATACATTTTTTTATTATATTATAAACTTGTTTTATATTTTTTAAATATTTCTTAAATATTTTTGCACATTTAAAATAAATAAATATATATATATATATCACAGGTCAATGGTGATGATTGTAGTTGAAATATCAATAGCATTAGGAGAGTTAAAATATCTATTATTTTAACTTATAAAATATCTAAAACTAAAATATCTCTTTTTATTAAAGAGACATTACAGGACATGTCTATTAGAGTAATTCTAAGTGTGTACACTAGGACAGGAGCCGTTGTCGTTCAGTTCAAACGTTTGAAACATCTACCCACCTGCAACCGCTGGCCAAATCACCACCAGTGTTTGTTTTAACCCAAACTGTAAAAACATTCAAATTTCACAAGGAACTTTATTACACACAGTAAAAGGACCGGTGTAGCTACAGTCGAACGCCGACTGTATGTGTGGTCTGGCTGACGTTCTGGTCTCACGCACAGATGATAACTTTGGGGAGAGCCCTTAACGTGTAACATAAATTGTCTGTGTGAAAGTGCACCGTGTAGAAGTGACAGTGTCCACTGTGAGGTCATGTAAAAACACTACAATTCAACACAGTAGCCTCCAGAACAGGGGTCTCCAACCTTTTGTTCTCCAAGAGCTACTTTTATAAAATAAAAATGGCTAAGAGCTACTTGTGCTGTGTAATATTTATTTTCATAGCTCAATTTGAACAATCTCAATAAGCTAACATTTATATTTCACTGTTGACATCACATTTTTCACCAAAGTATTTTTATCATTGTTTAATTATTATTATTATTACTGTTGTTGTTTTTTGGCAGCGTGGCAGTCCACAAAAAACATCCATGTATTCAATGCCCAGTATTGTTCCTCCATTTTGTCCAAATAACCTGATTTAATTTTTTCATTTATTTTCTGCAGAACATCGCCTTCTTCTGGCCACATATAACAAAAACTGCAATTGTTTGGCAATCGTCATACCAGATATAAACGCAGCACTGACGCTGTGATATGACTGTTCTATGTTCTGTTCTATGTTCTTCTGTGCATTATCGGTTGGTGGCCTAGTTTTTGTCAGTTTTGGTCAGTAGGTTTTGACGTGCACTGTGTCCAACAACAGCGTGTATTGAATCCTCTTATTGGTTTGGACACCTGTCACCGTCATGACTGCAGCTCATCACTCATCACCGCTGACTAATCAGGGTTGGCAGCAAGTTTTGATGGATAGCTAGATGGCAAATAAACAGTTTGTTTTGGAAGGGGACGGGAAAAGTGTCCATTATGATTGGATGAAAATTAAAAGCAGACTTTTTGAGGGACCAATTAGGTTTATAAATGACCCCTGTTCTAGAAAGACCAGCTCCTGATGTCTTGCAGAGGTAAAAAAAAAAAAAAAACAAAAAAACATAAGCATTGGTTGGCTGTAGAATGTTAGGCCATATAATATAATAAAAAAATAAAAAAAATAAATTTGGGTCATTTGATGTATACCTCTACCTAGTGGTACCAACTGAAATTGCAGTTGATTTGTTATAATGCAGGCAACAGAAAGTTGACATCATTTATTATGCCTTGTTTCAGTCATCTGTGCAATTCTGTCCAGAATATTGACCACAAAGTCAACCTGTCTGTGTCCTGTGTTGGGCTAGTCTGGACCAACACTGTGAGTACCATGTTCAGATGAGATGTGGCCCACATTCTTCTCAAAGAGAATCTCTATAACTCCTGTAAAAACTACAGATAAACTCAGCAGAATCTTAAATGGGAAGACAGGCAGGCAAGTTTGAACAGTTACCGTGTAACTGCGAGTATCTGTGTTAACCTGAGTGTGAGCACTAGGGGGGTAATTACGGTGTAGAATGTCTGCCTCATCGCTTCAGCTGACCTACGAACAGGACGGTTAATTATCCACTACCCAGCAGAGAGAGACGAAGCCAGAGAAGCCAGCTGGTGATCACACACCTGCGTCTGAAAGGAAACATGCTACAGGCTTTTGGATTTTCACAGTCTAAAATGAACAAGGAACAAAGAGGAAGCTTTGATCAAACGGCCGGAAAAAAGGAATTATTTTTCTAAAAAGAAAAGAAGGAACACCTGCTTCTGGAGGAGGATTCCACACTTGCTTGGTTTTGGATTTGACTGATAGTAAAAGGCAGAGACACATGGAGACTGGACAGAGTCTAGAATGCCAGCTGCTGCAGTGAAACCAAGTCCAGAGGACGTGGTGGCAGAGGGAGAAGGGGAAGGAGTCTCCCAGTGGGATGGTTCCGTACTGGACCAGGAGAAGTCCACGCTCCCGTCCATGAAAGTCCCCAGGGAGCTGCTGCGAAGTTTCCCACACTCTAAAAGAGTGGGGTCCTACCTGGTGGGAAAGATGATCAACAAGGGTTCATTCGCCAAAGTGATGGAGGGGCTGCACATCGGCACGGGGGAAAAGGTATGGATTAATGCACAGCTTCAGCACTCTGTACTTAACAACAAACATGAGGGACAATCCCTCATATGTTCAACGTTGTATGTACACAAAGGAACAGAGGATGAATTTAATAATAAGTTTACATCTTAAAATTAATTTCCCAGAAAATAATTATTTTGTGGACGGTTTGTATGCGTAAATTCCTTTCATCTCACTGATCACACGGTCCCTGACCCTTGTTTCTCGTCGCCATGGAAGTGGCCGGGCTCATCTCCCTGGACTGTTTGCTCAGATTAACCTGTGTTACCCCCTGTGGACTGACACACACACACACACACATTCCAAACATAACTAAATTTCCACACACAGTTTTATGTTTTAATCCTGTTTTCGTGGTGTCGATGTTTACGTGACCCGTTGTCTGAGCATTGTATGTTAATGAACTAAAGGCAATTCAAAGATACAAGATGTTCTGGAGAAAGACTACAAGTTAGAAAAAATAATATGTAGCTGTGTGTGTTTGCATTATATTTTATTGAACAGGCTCCATAGTAATAATATAACATGTATTATCTGCCTCTTTTGGTTGCTTGATTGTGCATTTGTTTGAGTGAATTTTAGTAGTAGGATTCAATTACTTGACTTTTTCCATATTATTGATTCCGTCTTTTGGATCGTTTGGTTGCCTGTGTGTTTAGGTGGCCATAAAGGTGATTGACAAGAAAAAAGCAAGACAAGACTCGTACGTCGTGAAGAACATGAAGAGAGAACCTCGTATTCATCAGATGGTTCGACATCCCAACATTGTGCTGCTACTGGAGGTTTAAAAAAAAAAAAAGACAGATTCACAGATTCATTGTGAATTGTGAACTTAGATGAATATTTGAGTTAATGTGTTGTTTTTTTTTTTTTGTTTTGTTTTCTTGGAGACTCTGGAGACCGAGAACAGCTACTACATGGCCATGGAGCTGTGTGCAGGAGGAGACCTGATGGACAGAATCTGTGACAAGAGGAGGCTGGAGGAGAAGCAGGTGCGGCGCTACACCAGGCAGATTCTGTCTGCAGTGGAGCACCTGCATAAACATGGCATCGTACACAGGTACTTTAGATTTGTTCATGTCATCTGAGTGAGTTTTGGTGAAAACATTACATTGTATGATGAATAAGATACAGTAACATTTTTTCAGTATTATATATATATATATATATATATATATATATATTAGTAGGATTAAATAAGTAATACTTAAAACTAAAACTCAAGTTCTGTTTAAAAAAATGATTTTTTTTAATCTAATTTACACTGACATTTTTTTTGTGTTATATATATATATATATATATATATATATATATTAGTAGGATTAAATAAGTAATACTTAAAACTAAAACTCAAGTTCTGTTTAAAAAATGATTTTTTTAATCTAATTTTATTAGTTTTAATTTGTCTAAGAACTTTTTGACGTCCCCTCATCCGGTACGTCCTGTATGCGTCCGCTGCCATACAGTAGCCACTTCTCTTCATGCTCGATTTCACAGCTAGATCTTGTCAGTTCAAACATAAACACACAGCATACCGAGGTTTTTACAGGGCATTAATAGTTTCACAGAGGAAAAATACTAAAGTAGTGAGTGTTACTTTAGTGGCATTTTACTGCATGTAGGTGTTTCAAACCCTGAGCTCTCTCTCTCTCTCTCTCACACACACACACTTCTCGGTAACCGTTCACAACATGTGCACCTCTGGGCTTCAGTTTAAGACCTTGGCTGCTCTGGAGGTGGGAATGTGATTACCAGGCAGTGACCTCAGCACTCTGCACCAGTGCCATGATTCACACATCATCACAACATCATGAACTTCCTCTCTAATGAAGTCCCTCAGTGATGTCGACCTCGGCCTCACCATAGAGATTCGCTCTGTCGTGAACAGAGAAGTTTACGTGCACGCACGCACGCTCACCGCAGTGTCATGTAAAACTGGTTAAACTGGGAAATAAATTGAAACTTTGCGCGTCGACTCACCTCCTGCCACCCACATTCAGTGAGTATTTGCCTTGAAGACGAAGTCTGTGTTCACTCATTTTTTGGTATGTCCTTTGAACTTTTTTTTTCTGAGTAAACTCTTCATTTTATGCTGGTTTAAATGAAGTAAGATGTAAAAAAGAACAAAGCTGATCCCCAGACTGAAGTCACACTCATGCTCTCTCTCGCTCTTCCATTTTTATAGTGTGGTAGTTTTGGAGTGGCCACCGCGGTCACAACATATAACTCTGAGATGGACTGAAGCGATCCTGATTTGTACTAATTGGCCAAATCATTACAAAATGTTTCAAAAACATTCATCTGCTCCTTTTTTTATTTGCTGTTCTTGAACAACAGGACTTCACATTTAGCCCTGGAGGATTTTTTTTTTCCCTGTTGTTCCTTGAGCTCGGGTGAGTCATCTCTTCGGCTCGTCCATAAAAACGCAGAAACTACACAAATGGAACAATTTCCATAATCTGAAAATAACTTCCTCTCCAATTGGTTCCATTGCAGTCAGGTTAAACAAATGATGTGAAGTTGATGTTTTTCACAGTCGTGTCGATTCTTCTTGATTTTTGCCGCAGAGATTTGAAGATTGAAAACTTCCTCCTGGATGAACATAACAATATAAAGGTTGTAGGTACGTGCATAACAAATTTAGAAGTATTTAAATACAAAATCCTGACACAATTCTATAGCTGTACCTACAGAGGTCAGAACCCACTCAAAAATAAAAACTGTGATGTACCATGCAGACTTTGGCCTGAGCAACACGCTGAAGGCAGAATCATTGTCTCTGGATCTTCTGAGCACCCAGTGTGGAAGTCCGGCCTACGCAGCCCCGGAGCTGCTGGCTCACAGGAAGTATGGCCCCAAAGTGGACGTCTGGTCTATGTAAGTGATATTGTCTCTTTGAGTGTATCACCTGTGTGATTATAGCTCAGCGTGAGTGATAGCTATGGCAGATTTTTACCATTTTTACACACTGTTTTCTGAGAATTAATCACTGAGCCATCGTATTTCTCGTACTCGATTTTTTTTCTTTGCACGTATTTAAACATTTGAATGTATTTTCTTGATATATGTGTGCTCGCATATGTGTGTGTGCAGAGGTGTGAGCACGTTTGCCATGCTGACAGGGACTCTGCCTTTCACTGTTGAGCCTTTCAACATCAAACAGCTCCACCAGAAAATGGTGAACAGGGAAATCGGCAGCATCCCCGGTGATGTCAGCAAAGGTAAATGGATAATTCTTCATCACACCAAGACTGAATTCTCTCTCTTTACTTAAAAAGTTTAGAAAAAAAAGAAGAAAGAAATTCAGCAGTTGCCATTTTATTTTATTTTATTTTATTTTATTTTATTTATAGCCCCAACTGGGGCCTTTTTGCATGAAAATAACAAAATGTAGTTCCCTGCATGAAACTAACTTTAATAGGATGGAAGTTGGCAGGGAAGTATTAAACCATTTTTCTCATGTAAGGCACGTTAATGGCTAAAGTGACATCATTATCTAACTAATTTCCTGAATTAACTTAACTTAACTTTGTACCAGTTTTATTCATACATTGACTGGTATTTTATCAATCCATAGATTTTAACAATAATTTAAAAAAAGTCGTACTTTAAGTTAAATTATGTTATTGTTCTTTTTCTATATCTTCATGTTTTGTAATCCTCAGCCTTAGCGTGTCTATCCATACAAACAGTCCTTCCATGACTTTGTCACGATGCCATGTGACCACAAACAGACACAGCTTGTGTTACAGAGAAGAAAACCAGTACGACTCTCTGTGACGCTGTGAAAACGGTGACATTGTCAGATTAGCAGCTGTATCCCTGCCACTGACAGGCATTTGAGACAGTGAGGATAACTGCTCCTGGGTGACATGGTTTTCCCTTTCACCAGCCTTTTAAACACTTTTTAACATCACGCACTCAAGAACTTTTACTTACTCAACTAAAGAATTAAAATAAACAAAAACTACCCACTAAGGACAGGGATGAAGAAATCAGTAGTCTTTCATCTGTCAGTGTGTAAGTGAATGTGAGACATTTCAAATTACAGTTCATTTCCCAAAACCCGACCAAACAAACCTACTCTCTCTTGCCCAACATTTGTTTGTTCCATGTTCTAAACATCTGTAACCGTGCAGTCCTGGTACTGATGCTCATGTAGGCAAATCATGCAGAATGTTAGCATTGGTCTTGCGGTTGGTGGTCAGGCTGCAGAACAATCTCCACTTCACAAACACTTAGGGAAGAATATGTGACTCCTCAGGCCGTTAAATGTTCCACCAGCTAATGACTAACTCACTGACTGTGTCATGCCACCAACCAGGATTTATACGAGCTTTTGCTGACAAAAACAATGGGATGACATTTGTGACCATGACAGTGAAATTGAAGGATGGCTAAATAACAATGGCTAAATTTGTATCTTCCAACTAAATACATGAAAAATAATTATATATATATATGTATATATATAAATATATATTCATTTATAACATATTGTTTATTTTAGCCATTTTTTTAGCTTTATTCTGGCATAAAGTTAGTTGATTTTCTCCATCAGTTTGTTAAGGTATACTGAATACTAGTCAATATTGTATTGTGTGAAATTATTTCTTTATTTGTTACCTGCAGTGGAGTGAAATCCAAATCAATGTATGGGTTTAGTCATATGACAAAACAATTGAAATGAAAAACCTTTTGTGTCGTTGCTTCTGCTGCAGGTGCGGTGTCATTCGTGTTGTCTCTGCTGGAGCCCGATCCAATCAAAAGACCCAGTGTCAGAGCAGCGATGGAGGAGAAATGGATCAGCGAGGGATTTGCCAAAAAACCACTGCAAACGCTGACTCACAAAAACAGGTAAATATAGCACGCACTGTCAGAAAGCAATTTAAAAAAAAAAAACATGTTCTTAAAAAAATAATGTAATATATAGTGGTTTTTATATATATGCTACGTATGTATGTTGTTTACAATGAGGAACAATGGGTCTATGGGAGAGTTGTGCATTTAACATGACAAAGACAGGAAGTCTCTCCATGTCTTCCAAGTAAATGGACATTTTTGTGGTGGTATAACAGCTTTGAATATTACAGCATGAGTAAAAGGCCTCATAACATACAGTAATGATTGAACTGTTCCAGTCCTGAGACTCTCACAGGCAAAACTCCAAATAGTTTCTCAACCACAGATCCTGGAAAATACATTTAAACATGTCATACTGTCTCCTATTAATTGTTTTTTTTTTTCTCTCTCTTTACGTCACAGATTATGTGAAGAGGACCTCAACTCAACCGTATTGTCATACATGACAGAGACACTGGGCTACACCCTCCCTGAAATCATCCACACACTCACCACCAACCGTCCCTCGGCCATCATGGCCTCCTATCACCTACTGCTGCACAAGTTCAACAGGAGCCAGAAAGCAGCCAAAGCCAACAAGGTTCTGGCTGTATTTTCACATACACACTTCATGGTATGATAGTACCCAAAAAAAACTGACTGTGATTTTTTTTTTTTTTTGGCAGAAGCTGGAGACCAGTGATGGGAGCCTTCCCAGTAAGAATACATGGAGAGAGAGAAACAACACTGACTCAAAGACTCAGCATCAGGTGATTCTGTGGTTAATGTTTGAATCATTGCATTCTCTCAGCATCATCCATGTGTTACTCTTCATTACTGTCTCTTTTTGCCTGTTACTATCCTATAACTAAAAAAGCTCGACTCCAACGGGATTTATTTTTTTATTTTCTGTGGATGAAGTCTGTGTTTGTGTCGCAAACCGAAGCAAAGGATGAAAAACAAGTGCGACTTATGGTCCTTCTTTATTTATTTATTTTTTTATTTTTAACTGTAAAACCTGATTAACCTTTTCTAAAATCCAATATTAACTGCACTGAAATATAGTTAGAGATTTTAGCCTGCACATATCAGGATAAGGACAAGCTGTTTTATTTCTCATTTTACACTCTTTTTCTTCTTCTTCTTTGTTCAGCTGTTCCCTTCAGAGGGTGGCCAGATCATTTGCCTCCATCTCCTACGTTCTCTTTTATACCAATCATCTTCATGTGTCAATGATTTCTCTCCACTGATGTTCTCATAGACTGAATCGACCAGTGCAAAAACCTCCAAACATCGCAGCCGGACCCTGAGGATCCACCAGGCGGTGGAGAGTCAGAGCAGCAGGAAGAGGAGGCCTGATGATGTAAACCGTAAGGACAACAGAGAGGACGACGAAAACCACCCCCCTTCTCCATCCCTGCCACAGCTACCTCACTGTGCCACCCCCTCAGCACCTCCTCGTCTCAACCCGCCCTCCACTGCTCCCCTGTCTGCAGGTGGCAGGGCGACTGATGAGGAAATTGCCATTACCTTGAGCACCAGGGAGCCACTGTTCCCAGAGGGTAAGGAGTTATTTTACAGACATGCTGTCACAGTGAACTTCAAATGTCAAACTATGATGAGAGAAAGAGCTTTAAAACATATTTACACTTTTGTCTTTCCAGTCTCTGTGTTTAGAGACAAAGAGGTGGTCCATCGTTCTCCACCTAAGGGTTCGACATCGCAACTCTGTGACTCCGCCCCATGCCATGTGCCCCTTCCAGTTGAGCCAATCAGAGACATCAGTCCAGTCAGACAAATCCAACACACACACATGCTCAGGACAACTCAGTCCGATGGAGCAGCTGACCCCGGGTCCGAGTGTTTCCAGGACAAATGCCACCAGGATCACTCTCATCACCTGACCATCAATGAACGGCTGGAGAAGCTGCAAATGTTTTACGCCTCCGAGAATAACGGTATATCCCCCAGAATGCTGCTGGAGGCGGACACCAACACCACACACCTGTCAGACAGAGAACACCTCAGCTCTATGGACACAACACAGACCTCACCCACAGCTCCCCTGCCACGTCTACGCAACGTGGGACACAAAGAGGGAAGGGGCAGGAAGATGATGTGGGCGGGACTGACCCGAACTGGGCCACCTGGACTCTTGGTCAGTGGGTCTAAACCTCCGGCCTTTCCCTCACAGAGACAACATACTCTGGTCATCAAGAGCCTTAGGCAGCAGAGAGGGAAGAGGAGAGAGCTATCGACAGCAGCAGGAGGGGGCAGCGAGAGAACGACAGCAGGGGGAGTGATGAGTGGAGCAAAGAGGAACACAGTTCAGTTACGGTCAACTCTGCAGCATCGAGTGGCAGACCTGAACCTGCCGCTGTTACCCACAGGACTGCAGGGAAAAGCTGATAAAAAGAGCCAGCTCCACAGTATGGACTACTGACAGACAGGAAGGCAGTAAAAAAAACACATACGGTCTCTGTGTTTACAGTTTTGATGGTACATTTCTCATCCACAAACACCAGTATATAAACTAAAATGGTTCAGTGCCAACATTTTTTATTCCAACTTAGTTTAAAAAAAAACATTTATCATTGTGACCTTTTTTATCTTTATAGACTTCATCCAATAACTGTGACATGGATCCAGACATTTTATACTAAAGTCTAATCAAAGACAAGTCTCAATTCACCGCTTGATGTTTTGCAGGGAATTCTTAGCCGAATAATTTCTTAAATTAAAAAAAAATGTTCTAGAAAAAAAAAGTTTAAATGTCCCCTTATATCAGTGATGAACAGCACATACTAAAAATTCTTGCATTCATTTTTATTTATTTTTTTTATCATTTGCAAAGAATTTGTTTTTAATAAATGTAACTCTTTGATTAGGTAAGATGTACATGTAAAGTGAAGTGCAAAACTGATTTACATTCACAAAACCTCACACTCCCTCTGTCTCCGAGACACATGAGTCATTAATATTAAGGTGGGTCTCAGAGACGTGAAGGATTCTGGTTGCTGCTTCATGGTGCTCTTTGTGACCGCTGAATAATTCAGAGTCAGTTACGTGACACTGGGCATGTGTGTGAGCGTTTGTGATATGCACATATATTCTGTGTGAGCCCGGTGAAGACAGATTGAACCCACTGAGGTGGATCCATCCCCCCACTCCAGTTACCTTTCTGGTTGTGTAACAATGATGTGAAGCGGTGAGCTCTGATACTGTATCAGAAGCTGCACAGTGGCAACACACTGAACAACAGCGGCCATGTCGGCTGTGTACGTTGTTTTTAAATGTAAATGTAGACGAATTTTAAATGTAGACGAGATGGCTTCATCCTGGAACACGTGCCTTTTACAGCACTCTTTAAGGAACTTGTGTATGAAAACACTCCTCCTTTGACTAGTGACAGGGACTGACAGTGAGTGGTGGACAGACAGATCAGCTGCGCTAAAAAGCTATGGAAAACAGATCAATAATGCACGGAGCATGCAGTGGAGATATTCATAACCGGCCGAGCGTTGAGTTGGTTCCCAAATGATGATGATATCAAACAGGTGAACTGTGGTGCATCTCCATGAAATCACATTCACAGGAAGTTTAGAGCAGCCACAGCGGTGACAGAGTAAAATGAAAAGGGCCAAGTGGAAGTCTTGACCTTGTGTTTGACCGCTCATCAATAATGCATTAGGAAAGGTCATAACGGAGAGATGTTTACACAAGATTTGAGTCTAATGTCACAAAAGGAAGAACTTGACACATGACTGCTGGCTTTCGACCTGTTGGTTTATTCTCCCACTGACATAATGTTGTAAAATTGATTCTTATATGGGAACAATAATAGTGTGTATTTCGGCCATACTAGTTGCTAGTGAAGCACTTAAGGATTTAAAAGGATGGTGTTACCCTATCTGCTCTTAAACAGTGTTGGGTGTCTCTCAGAATAATCGCTGGATCCCTCATTGTATTTGTGTGTGTGTGTGCATTTGTCAGTCTGGGTAAGTCTTTTTTCCTGGGAGTCTGGTTTCTAAATGATGAGTCATTTATAATTGAGTGTCCCCTCCAAGGGAGAGCGATCCAGGGTGGCACAGTCATTAACTGGTCACCATCACAGTGCGTGTGAGCGGGAGTGTCACAGGGGTCGGCACAAACACAAAACGTCCAGAACCACAGCAACCTGAGCCGAACACTGTTTTATTGATGCTACCTCCGATTAACTATCAGTTCAAGATCAATGCCATTTAAATCACTAAAGATGTAGCTGTCAGAAGGCATTCAGTGTTATGGTATTTTAGAGCTGTCCAAACCAAAGTGACAAATCTCTAAACTAGAGTTGTAGTGACAACATCATAAAGGTAAGCCCAAACATGTATGGACAGAACTTAAAGTGAAAATGTGAAATGCAAAATGAAGATTGAATTCTGGATATGCTGATTGGAAATATTCATGTAGTGAACACTGAAGCCATATATGTACATATGCATGGTTGAGTCATTGCTCGATGACGTTCATATTTTAGGATTAATAGACGGTTTTGTCAGACATAACCAACAGTGAGTATTTATTTCATTACAAAAAGCCAGTCTACCACAGACCCTCCCATTTCAAACACACCAACTCAAGGTGAAACAGACCAATATTTGGGGACAACTGGCCTCTATATTAAATAAAGTTTGGATGTTTTTATTAATGAGTTGCCCGATTTATAATGATTTTCAGCCAGACCATAGGGTCTGTACCTCAGAAGATGTTTGTTGAATATACTGCATATATTCAGCCTCTGAAGACAACGATATTTTAAGGAACTTGTAAAGTAATTCAAGGCCAGCAGAAACTCTTTATTTGTAGGTTACTGACAGAGTTTGGTATGGAATATTTGTCTTGTGCTGCCATCTGTTGGAAGAAATATGTGCTGCAGGAAAACTAAAAACACGTCAGTTTTAAGGACTACGTTGTGTGCCTGAATGTAAAGGTTGGTTAGATAAAACAAAAATGTTACAACATTTATTCAGATTTGTTATAATGTATTTTTTGTGTGTTTTTCTAGACCTATATACTATTTTTAAGGAAATATATTGTATAAATTTATTGTTTTTTTTCCACAATTAGCTCTGCATATACTAGAATACCTTTGAAACTATAAGTTAAAAAACTGAACAAAAAACAAACCATGCTTTGTTGCATTTTCGTTGCATGCATAATATCAAGTCATATATCTACACAAGAGTTTACAACAAGGCTGATGGGAGAGCAAAGGAAGCTGTGAGAAGACGATAATGCTGCATACAATAATGGGTTAAAAAAAGAGGTAATATCAATAGCAACATTCTCCAAAATAACTGGCTGGTTACCCTGAGGCAGTAGGAAGGGGGGATAGAGGGTGGGGGTATGAAAGAAGGCATTTCATGTATTAGGTTTTCTATTTTATCATGAATCCATATACTAGTCGTTACTAGTTGCATAGTAACGTTGAGACATGCACGAAGAAGGTGGCAGAGTATTATCGAGGGTACAAATTTACGTTTTTATTATTTAAGCGTGTGTGCGCGCACTCGTGCACGTATGAAATTGATTAAGTAAATCTTTTCAGGTGTAACAGCAGACCGGTGGACTCCACGACGCCAAGAAGTCCGAAGCATCTGGTTTCTGTTTTATTGTGAGTGCGATTTAGTTGTTTTCCCCAAGAATATTTGATTGCAGTTTCAGTAAATGATCAAGCTAAACTTTACCATTTTGTTAAAACTAGCATTTTTATGTGCACTTTAATGCTTTTGTTCGAGTTTTAACATGGTATTGTCTTGACTTCCTTTAGGTCACAGGAAGTTGGAGCCCACGACCAAAGAACAGCCTGTGAGGAGGTTGCAGGAACGCTGCCATCTAAGTGAAAAAGGAAGCAGAAGAGAGGTAAGGTGGATGATTGAGTACAGGCAGAACAAGTAGTATTATTGCATTTGCTTGGCTTGTGTAATTCTTTAGAGTACTAAGTAGTGTTTAATTGAAGTGTTTTGTAACAATGTTTTTATTTCATCTTGTGTTTCAGGCCAAAATAAGAGGGTTAACCAAGTTGTTGCACTCCTGATGATGGGGCCATGGTTGAATCCTGTGAGCACATGTGGTTGACAGTAGTGTTGTGACTATGTAATGTCAGCAGGCTCTGAATGGAGGAGCTGTAGCAGGTCAGCAGCAGGTTGGTGTTGAAGTTCTGCTTACTGAGGACTCTCAGGAAGTGCATGCGCTGCTGAGCCTTCTTGGTCATGGAAGGGACGTTTTCTGACCAGGAGATGTCGGCGGA